CAGTCCCAGAAAATCTGTAAAATGTCTTTCTCAATAACTCAACTTCAGACCATCATCAATATTCAGGTTAATCTGAGACGTTAAACTGTTTCCGTACAGAATTTAAATGCAGCAAGTCCTTCTTGAGGCTGATAAAGCCAACAGAACTGACTTCCGTGCATGACAATCAATATACAGAGAGCAATTATAATTTGTCTTTCATTTCATCTACATGCATGACCCCGACCCCGACACAACTGTGTCAAGACTTAACTATGACTGAAAGTGTGGAAGTGCTGTGAAGCCAGTCACTGAACAAGACTATAAGACACAAGAGGTAAAGAACTCAGAATGATGAGTTAGGTGGTGAGTGTACTCTGTGAAAAACAGATAAACACAGATAAAATTCAATGTTCAGAATGCAGTGGTGAAAAAAGTGTTGATCCATGCTCCAAGGCGCACACCCGCACTTTTGAAGATTGCCCAACATTACGCTAGAAAATGTTTACCACAGGCCTGATCATCCGATATGTATTACTGAAAAACACACACAAAATATCCCTAAATTCAACGCTTTCACAGAGACTCGTACTCAGGGCAGTGTCAAGTTTATGACCTTTGTTTCTTTAATATCCTTGCCAAAACAATAAATTTTGTTCTTTGCATTGTCCTATCTTGCTTAGTTTCCGCGCTAGAGAAACCACCCCCACCAGAATTCAAACTCAGGACAATTTTTTGGAGTTCTTTACTTTCTAAAATAGCCTAATCATACCACGTTTGGTGCAAATTGGTTCATCCATTCTAAAACATCTAAACAGTGGCCTAGTATTCTCGACATTCACAAAGTTAGGACTTTGTCAGAGGTGAGGGACAGGAAAGACAGAGTAGACCGCCCCAGATTCAATCTACCTCAAACACAAGAGTTCGACGCTTTGTCTACAGACCACAGTTCAACTTTGGCATATGCACCACCACTAGTTTACTCTATGTGAATACAAACCGGCTGAATCTGCCTGTCAGAACTTTGTCCGGTGTAAGCAGCTTGCTGGTAAACTACGTTTCGCTGTTGAGGCTGGGTGTGTTGCTGCATTGTATTATTATGAGCTGCCTGCAGGTCTCTGCTAGCTGCAGATGACGGTGCGGATGGCGCTGATGCTGCTGTAGCAGGATTTGTTTGTTGTTGTACGGGCCCTAATCCACTAGCCTGACCTTGTCTGGAAAAGATGTCATGGAATACACCACACATTTCTCAAATGCCAATGTATTAAATATTTGGGGGGAGGGGGATAAAAAAAAACAATATTTTGATGGCTGCAGCTGTAAAGCAGCTTATACCAGGCAGTAGAAGTAAGCTGGAAGTTACTGACAATCACAAACTGCACTTCAAAATTTCAGGACATGGTCAATCTAGTGGGTTTACAAATATATATTCTTTTCTGTGGACAGGAAACGGCTCAATGATTACTATCACTACCACAAATACCACTATGACGACGACTACTACTACTACTATGACCACCACCGCCACCACCAACGCTAACAGAAGCAATGAAATGTAAAATGGAGATGGACTCCCATCTCTCACATTCAGATGCTGGAACCAGCAAAATAATCAACAAAAAATGCACCATATAACAAAATAAAAAAAACTTAAATACGATGTTTAATACAGATATTAAAAAAACACCAGAAATGACAAATATGTTATTCTTGCCATGGGAATGACCCAGCGCTCCAGATTTCCAGATCTGTAGTTGTTTTTACCCTCTTGTCATCTGCATGTTCACCGAATAACAAAATAAACAATTTATATAGCAGAGTTATAATTAATGCTGACTGAACTGCATTTTATGGATTTAAGGTAAGTATATAGACAATTTCATCAGATGGTAGTTCGGTTTTGGATCACACCCATAATTTTTATGCACATCACTTCAGTGTGCACCACCTAGTTTGGGTTCCACTGCTCTATAGGACCAACCTAACCTAACCTAACCTAACCTAAATAACAGTCAATGTGCACCAAGCAATATGATGTGAAGGCATGTGAACAAGCTGTGGAAGCAGAGCTCCACACAGTCTTAATCTGATCTGTACATAAAGTTTGGATGGTTATCTTCACATTACGTGTGACTTTAACGCCAGGAAGAGTTTCTGTACATGCAGATCTGGAAGACAGATGGATGCAAGAGCCTGCAACTGCCCTTCCGCACACGACTCGTCTGCTTACTTTGATTGCCACAGGATCAAACCCAGTAGCGTGCCCGGTTTGCGTGCAGTTACAGCTTGAGATATAAATTTGGGTATGCGGAAGGATATAAAGGGATAATTGGTGCAGGTTTTAGTCGGGGAGCAAGAGTCTCCAAATCACAGGGAATATACGGGGACTGTGATGGTTGGAGCGGCATTTGCGCCAAGGATGTGAAATCTCTGGGGTTACCTTTGAGATGCCCCCTTTTATTGCGCCTCGAGACAAACTGTCGTATAGCCACTTACTCTGATCGGAAGGCAGTGCGATGATTCGGCTGTTGTATATGTACTTGAAATTTGAAGGTACAAGCAGAAACTGTCTGCTTGACTTGAACAACCAAAATTTTTGACAGCCCGCACCAACGCAATCCCGCTATAAATACCCCTGCAACGTAACTGTTCTTAAATTTTGAATTTAATACGGCGATTCGATTCATCGCCCAAAAAGTCACCCCATGACGTCGGAAACGCGCCGAAGAGTTTATATAAACCAGATTAATATGCCAAAGCCTGGTTTACCCCTTATCTCAAGGTTCAGCCCGTTTGGGAATCGACCACGAACCTGGACTGGCACAAGCCATTTTGTAAGCAGTGGTAAACAGGAGGGGGGAGGGAGAGAGAGAGAGGGAGAGAGGAAAAACCAGGCAACTGCCTGTCAATTACTGACAAACAGCTCAAATGTCATATGCCTTCAACATTTAAATATGACCTATGTTCCAATATCTGAGTAACACTCTCCATGGTGTAAGCCGCACAACACATTCCCTAAACCCACGTGGAGTTTCCCATTCGCCATGACTAACCAGTTCAGCTGAGTCAACTTTAAACGAACAAATTAATCAATCAATCTTGAATGAATACAATAACATGTAAATAAGAGTGACTGTAAAGCAACACAACCCATTGCTGGTACAACTTCATTTATACAAAAAGTTACAAATTATATCCATATACAAGAATTACAATTATGATCACGACCCCAATCTTTGGTAACACGTTTGATGCGACACACTGATGACCTGTTTGAGTCATTTGTTAAACACATCATCATCGTCATATTCATCAAGTATTAGGCCAAGTGGCCTGTTACGGTTTTATTCCAGATTTTTAACGGCCTTCCCAGGCTTCTCTTTCCATTCGACGTGTAGTTCAAAATATTGAATATTTTGTTTTGGTTCTTCTGACATCTCAGAGCTATAAGCCAAGCAACTATAAATTCAGAAATCTGAGAGGAAACACATTTCGTGAAACAGTACAACCAACACAGAATTCTTGAAACATTTCTATTTGAAGTTTGAGGTTTTCATGGCAGTAAGGATGATGGTGCCAAAAACCCGGAACATTGACATTTCTATTGTCGAGTTTGTGGTATAATCTCCTGCTCCATCGTGCTGAAACCATCTGTCTCACAACTTCCAGGAGAGAAATTTCCTGTTCAATTGTTTGCAATGTTTGACACACACATGCACACAGTTTTACTTACAAAAAGATGGGCAATTTCAGGCTTACATGAAATTCCATGCCATGCTCTGAATTTTAATTTGTAATGCATGTAAACTAAGCACCCCATACTTGGTTAACATGACTATTAACATATCCGGTGGTACGCAACCTAGCCTCATCTATAGAATTAACTCTATCCTTCTGACCAACTGCTGATATGAAAGAATTTTCTTTTCAGTCCACGCATGACTTGTGCACAAGAAGGATAACATTTCAAAATATTTGTGGCCTTCTGCACATTTACATATGACAATCCACAATTTTTATCAGAGACTTTCACGGAGACAAAAACAAAGATTCATACGTGTCCACAGATTCATCAATCAAAATTCATGTCATTTACACGTCCTGTGTGACAGAAACATTTTTATCGAAGAAATATTATGACGTTATTTGTCAGTTTTACCACAAAATCCATACAAAAAGCAATCTGGCAGGCTGAGTAAGAATGTAATGTTAAATAACATATGACAATCACCATCAGCTGTTCATACATAACTTTAGCAAACTAAGGATAGACCAGATAAGTTAAAACCTATATGAGATTGTGTATAAATATAAATAAATAATATATATATGTGTGTTTCAAATTCAGCGGGACAGTTTAAATTCATCTGTAAATTTGTAACTGTTTCTAATACAAAGAAAGTAAAGGGATATGTTTTTGTACAAGAATCAGACAATACAGTGACCTACTACCAGTATCTAATAAATAGGTCACACAATATGGTTATAAAATATGTTAACAGTAAAGCCTAATTACGTGGGATCTTAGACCAATCTATATTTTCACAAGATTTTATTGTACTACATTCATCAATTTCAACCAGCAGATTCAAAAGCCACCTTCCACCTACTCGGCAGAGACAGAACAAGAACAAATACAACTTCACAGTGCTTTCTGAAAATCTTTAAATCCAATATGCCAGATATAAGCAAAATATGTTCACTTACTCATGCAGAATTTATCGGAGCACAAAGAATCAACATTACAGATCTCTGAATATTTTAAGGAATACCAGTAGTTCAGCTGAACTGTAAAAAGGTTTAAAGGGTGTCCAATTAAATCTAAATCGCTACTTAGACATGCTACATGGTAACACAAAACTGAACAATAAAGTCAAGACAAATTTATACATCAATTAAACTTTCTTATCAAATATAACTTTGTTTTCATTCCCATAATTATGAAGCACAGGCAACACAGAAAAGCTTGAATACTGAACATCCTCATTTTAACAGACAAAAGCTTGAAACCGTGTGGAAAGTGCAGTGGCAACAGCAGTGCTGAAATTCTATACACAGACACAACTGGCCGCCCCTTCAACGGCAACAGACACAAATAACTATCACAGAACACAATGCTGCTGGGAGATGAGCACTGATAAAACTATCATACACAAATTTAACATAAGTTTTCTCTTCCTGTGACAAGCGGGCTATGACTTTACTATCACTGGCATAATTTTGGTAAATGTTTTCTCACACATTAGTCAAAGGTCAAGGTCAAGATGTTAATAAGCAATATCATGAGCCCCATATAAAAAAGAATCTCTGCCCACGAGCTTTTAATTGGTACAAGAATGAGCACTATATTTTAATTAAGACCAGAGTTATGCACATTTTAGGGAAAATTTAATATATGCGACTTCCTAAAAGATCCGACAAGCTCATGAAATGTTAAGATCAGAGTTTGTAATGAAAATATTGTCCCTGAAGTGTGTTGATTTGATATGGAATGACCCAACTGACGTACAAAGGTATCACAAATGTGGAAAAGCAAAACTATACTAAACTTTCTTCAAAATATAAAACACTTCAGGAAAATGGGGGAAGATAACTACTGTAGACATCAAACATTCTGCACACTGCTAGATGAGTAGAAGACGCAAGCAAAAAATTTAAAGAAACATGATAGGACGCCTTCTTTAAAAACTTTACTGAAAAGAGACAGCAAAATCAACACATGAAGATTGCCGTCATCTGGATTGTCGCACCATGTAGAACATCCACCAGACTACAAAAAGACAGCATTCTTCAGACTCACCGTCATGAAAACCTCAAACCTACTCAACGCACGAAGCTTCCCAGCTACATGTGCTGTAAAACATTTTCATAGTACAAAGAACACCAATTTGTATTTGAAACATGAAGTAATATTTGTAAGAGAAAATTAACCAAAGGGACTTATAATCCATGCACAATCAATGAACTACACAAGAACCAAAATCCTCAGGTGTAAAAACAGACAGCAATCCAGAAAATTACATTCTCAAGCTCAGGCAGAATAACTTTCTTACAGTCGGTTTATTTTACCCCTTCAGCATCAACTTCACTGCCTCTAACCTCAAACAGCAGTTCCATACAAAAAATACAAAACTGCAGAAATGTATTATTAATGTGATCAACACAACAACCTCTTCGTGAAATTATTTTCACCGCCAACCCAACTGATACTATCATTTCAGGCGTTAACAAAGCGTTTCCAATTGCATACATTATATGGCATCAAATGGCAGGACGTGGAAGCAGTCACAGCCCATTTCAAACCTCAATTTCTGTCTGGAGGGATTTCAGTCACGTTAATCATAGTCAGTCCCAGGTATGTTAACACCAGTTAATAATTTACATTGCAAACGAAACTCGATAACAGACCCTAGATGTGCTGCAGAACATCCATAATTTACTCCTTTACTTGCAATGAGGAATATTTTATGATTACGTTTCTTTAAATGTTTCCACTGTTTATGACTGTCAGGTAAAATGAATATAAATTTATAAAAAAGTAAAGATCAATTTTAACGCACTTTTAAAACAGCCAAAGTAAAATGTAACCTTTCTGACAGGAAAGAAACATATGTTAGTAATTAATAGTCCTAATTTTTGTTCAGGTCAGCTGTGACCTTACTTCCACGCTGCCATTACCTGTACCTCTCTAACAAAACAGTACACGTACTTACTGAATAGACTTATATAAGTCCTTAATCTTCATCTGAACAGGAGTAGACCGTAGTCGCAGTAACTCCACAGCTCTAGCCTGTAATTCAGTCTTCCTCCCTGATTTGTTACGACCAGCAAAGCCTAAAAGCATCTGAAGTTCTGACACTCTAAAGCTTAACACCATATTCTGCAAAGAGCAAGTAACCACATTTTAGACGCAGCCATGCAACCACAAACGACGTTATGTTTATTTTAAAACACATCAAGCCTAGACATTTGCCGACATACAAAATTATTCCAGCTGTCAGTATTAGATATGGTTAGAAGCTCTTGTATTTTTTCATACATATATTTATTCTTCAAGTCTATACACAAACCATTTTAATATTGATGTTAAAAATTAAAATTGATATAAATATTTCGCGCTATTCATCGTTTCCTCGATGTTACAATTTGCGCTATATATTACAACATGTTTCGATGTCTCAGCATCATCTTCAGGTTTTATTTTTAAAACTATTCATCAATATTAAAATGGTTTGTGTATAGACTTGAAGAATAAATATATGTATGAATTGAAAACACAAACATGACGCATCTAAACTATAAATCTTGTATTTTTATATATTTGTAGACACACACACACACACACTAAGAAGTCCTTTAAACAAATGAAGTTCACCAGTGACAATCGATAAAGAACATAGTCTGGTGCTTCATTACAGCACAAAGAACATTTGCAATACAGATCCAACATTAATATTTGTTTTTCTTCTTCTTACTTTTGAAATTACCTTGGCATTTCACACACTATCATTACGAGCCATACGTACTAATGTTATCCTACGACTATACAGTTCCTGATTTTAAGAATACCACATACATTACAGCACAGTAACTTGTTAACAACGTTGCATGAAACGTGGACTGTTACGTTTATTGCATACATTTACACTGTGCATTATCAACATTATATTAAAGTATGTATGGTGCATAAATACAAATTCAAAGAAATGAATGGACTGTTGTTGCCATTAAATTTAATAAATACAAAACTAATATACTTCTATAACTAATATGTGTTTTGACACCAACTCCGCCCAAACAACTGTACTTCTTTAACACAGATTTACAATCATGAACTACATCTTTTTTCATGTTCTGTTAAAGTGGAGGGAAATGAAGATAATGTCACGGTTTGTAACAGCTGTTGACAGAATCAGCATTTAAAGCAGTTACATGACAAACTGATTGCGCAGTTACCAAGAATTCATAACTGTTACACAAAACGAAGTTCATAATAAAACTATGGTTGTTCCAGAAATGTATGTATTGGAGCTGAATGGAATCATGCTACATTATCCACTTGTGTGACAACATAAGGGAGGAAGGTGAGAAGAGAAGCCACACCTATACATGACGTCACATAAAAACTATAAGGGAGGGAAGTGAGAAGAGAAGCTACACCTATACATGACGTCACATAAAAACCTTTTACTCAAAACTGAAAATACCGGTGACGAAGAAAAGAACTTGTCGGGAAAATTAAATGTTCTCACAAAAAGTTGGTAGCCTGTTTCTGTAATCGCTACTTCAGGCAAAGGTTTCTGCTTTGTTTCAAATGTTAATAAATGTGAGATGTGTATGAATCTCTAAAAAATCTTTAAAATAAATTGTAAACTCAACTAAAAAAAGATTAACATATACTTTCTCACAGAAACCTTGTTACAAATATAATTCCATAATAAAATTTCATTCACTTAAAAGAGATATTTATGGATCTTCCAAATATCACTCGTCTTAAAGATATATTTTATAAGGCAGAAGGAATGTAACACAACAGTAATCACCCCACACATTTCACAAATTAGCCTGTTAACTAACCTCAGCATAAACTCCATCTTTTGCAATGAACACGCAGAACACGTGATGTCATGACTTAATGCTATAAGGAAAAATAAATGCCACAGATGATCACACACTGCATATCAAGAACAGAATAAATAACATTCCTATATTTTAGCGTAGTACCTTCCCAAACCCTGTCTTCTGTGGCACTACGAAGCTATGCTCTACTATCTCAAACAATGAATTATGCAGGTGCATTACACACAGCAATAAACATTTAAAAGTATTTTTGTAACTGTGATGTACACTTGCACGTGTTCTTCGACCAGGTAACTTTAGTTTCAAAGCACAATGGTTCTGTCCACTACCTAACCATCAGAAACATCCCTGTATTGATCAATTTCAATACTGTGACATGCAAAGCCAACTATGAATTAAGTGTACAGTCACTTGAAAAATGTATGTGCTTTATCTAAAAAAAAAATACACAGTAACAACACAGCACAGAGGTGTACATATACAGACATAATGACTACTTTCACTGAGTATTCTGCAAACCAAAGGCAAGGAGAAAGAGTGAATTTATTAATGTATCGTACGTGTTAGGTACGAACAGTTAATTTCCTGTACACACAGAATATATGAAAAAAAACAGGTTACCGCCTCTCTGAATGAGGAATTCCTAAAGCTCTATGATCCTTGAAAATATGTGATCTATTATAAGTGGAAAAAGTCACTTCTACCTCTAAAATAAACCTACTGATGACCGTTTCCATAGGAAATATACTGTAGGGACATTTCTTCCCCAAGGAAAATGTATTGCTGAGAGCAACTTTCTTTTCTGTCAAATAACAGACCTTGATCATTTGGTGGAGTACCCTGTTATCAAATTAACCCACAAATGCCTTCTTTGCAGAATTTGCCCACAAAGAAACAGCAGAATATATATAAAATTATATCAGCAAAATTTAAAGTGCAGAATAACAGTGATTTGTAAGTTTTTAAATATAACTTTCACATTTATGATTCCTTACTTTCTTCTTTCTAGACTCTTTACAGCAGTATACTACTGAATTACTTAATGTGGAACATCCAAATCTTTCTCAGTTGATGGCCACATAAAGACAAAAAAATATCGAAACTTTTGATTTTAATTAACAATTATAGTTACACTAATGCACCAGTAACTATTATTTTTTGAAACCACACACAACAGGATGAAACATAAAAAAAACTGCCAGTAGCCACAATCACAAGGGCCATTCCATACCAAAATAAACAAAACTGAATTAAGTGCCAACCACACCATCATCAATTTCTGTGATTTTTATTTTACAAGTAGATCAACGAACGTAGGCAGTTTTAGGGTGTGGCAAGCAATTTTTTTTACACGTATGTAAATATACACATTATTTAAAAAGCCAGAAATATATTTTTTTTTGTCAGAAATCAACATATCTGGGTGTACATATATATAAGAGCTGGGTAGCTCAGTCAGTATAGTGACCAATTATGGGTTGGACAACAACTACAGTCCACTATTCCATAACTTGGATTACACAACACTTGATTTATTATGTTTTACTACACTTAAAGAAGCGTATTGTTTTAGATCGAGTTCACAGTAAAAGAACTGTAAAAGATTCGTGAGCCTAAGTTATCACGAAGATCTTCATGTAGCTGCAGTGCAGAATTTCTTTGCTGCTTTCTCCATGGCAGAAGTAACTTGATTTCCTTCATTTCATACGTGAAAAAGCCCATTAACACGTGTATGTACTACAAAATACAACTGCCAAACTTTATGCTAACTTACATAACTCAGAGTAATGAGACAATATACACAAAATTTAATCATGCTGACATTCAATCAATTCAAATTGCAATTACTGACTTCAACGGAGAGAGAGTTTTTAACGATACGTATCATCTGGGAGGGCCTGATGATAGAAGCAGCAAACACCTCTGAAACATCAGTAAACTTCTACCACACTACACAGCACAATGTCCCAGAAGACAGCCATCTTCAAATGAGAAATACATTTCTGTTGACCTTAAAGGAGATTACAAATAACAGGAATTATGATGCCGACTGTACGCCTGCATCACTTCCACTTTGGGACTTTCCTTCATGGCTCCGCACACACCCAAAAACGAATCTTCTGCTGTTGCGCCATGAAAACGCAAACTAGCCAGTTGTTCGATCACTCAAAAAAATTCTGTTATGCCACCAATGATGATTTAAGATGAAACATAAAAAAAACTGCCAGTAGCCACAATCACAAGGGCCATTCCATACCAAAATAAACAAAACTGAATTAAGTGCCAACCACACCATCATCAATTTCTGTGATTTTTATTTTACAAGTAGATCAACGAACGTAGGCAGTTTTAGGGTGTGGCAAGCAATTTTTTTTACACGTATGTAAATATACACATTATTTAAAAAGCCAGAAATATATTTTTTTTTTGTCAGAAATCAACATATCTGGGTGTACATATATATAAGAGCTGGGTAGCTCAGTCAGTATAGTGACCAATTATGGGTTGGACAACAACTACAGTCCACTATTCCATAACTTGGATTACACAACACTTGATTTATTATGTTTTACTACACTTAAAGAAGCGTATTGTATTAGATTGAGTTCACAGTAAAAGAACTGTAAAAGATTCGTGAGCCTAAGTTATCACGAAGATCTTCATGTAGCTGCAGTGCAGAATTTCTTTGCTGCTTTCTCCATGGCAGAAGTAACTTGATTTCCTTCATTTCATACGTGAAAAAGCCCATTAACACGTGTATGTACTACAAAATACAACTGCCAAACTTTATGCTAACTTACATAACTCAGAGTAATGAGACAATATACACAAAATTTAATCATGCTGACATTCAATCAATTCAAATTGCAATTACTGACTTCAACGGAGAGAGAGTTTTTAACGATACGTATCATCTGGGAGGGCCTGATGATAGAAGCAGCAAACACCTCTGAAACATCAGTAAACTTCTACCACACTACACAGCACAATGTCCCAGAAGACAGCCATCTTCAAATGAGAAATACATTTCTGTTGACCTTAAAGGAGATTACAAATAACAGGAATTATGATGCCGACTGTACGCCTGCATCACTTCCACTTTGGGACTTTCCTTCATGGCTCCGCACACACCCAAAAACGAATCTTCTGCTGTTGCGCCATGAAAACGCAAACTAGCCAGTTGTTCGATCACTCAAAAAAATTCTGTTATGCCACCAATGATGATTTAATAGCTGAGCAGTATTACTTGTTTAATTATTCTCATCGAGTATGAAAAGAAAGCATTCTAATTATTTTACT